CTAAGCAAATCCAAATGAAATTCACTTGACACAAGCACATACTAGAGGCAGGCTCGAAAGAGTATTGGATGTCGTACTGCTTGACGTTGAAACTTTTGGCAAGTCGTCAACATTTCAGAGAGCACTTTAAATGTTTTGGTTTGAGAGCTAATGCAGCATTTCCCACCGATGAACAAGAGCAGTTCAGGCAGAAAGCAAGCACGTTTCCCTCAGCATCAGTCAGAGGCTGCACTCAGTTGCTGATCCAGTCGCTTACAGAGACATAGGAGACTGGGAAAACTGGTAAGTAGGAAAATTCCATCTAACACAGAGTATATTAGAAGAATATTTGTAATTTTAGTGTAAAATGGCTTTTTATGCTTTTAAGGTCCTAATTCTCTTCATTTAATGTGTGGAGTAACAGATTTATATGTGAGGCTGGATTTTTCCAAGTTTGAACAATGAACTAAGTCTAGTTACATTTTCTCTGCAAATACTCTGAAACTTAATGAAGCATGACTGCTCTACGTTAGACTCATACCTTAGGAATTATGAAATTCCTATTTTTAAAAAAGTATGTGTACTATAAGACAGTGAGATGTGTGTGTGTGTGTGTGTGTGTGTGTGTGTGTGTGTGTAAGGAATTAAAAATGAGTTCTCTGATATGGTGAAATAGACCAAGACAGCTGGTTATTAAGTAATGTTCAGGGCAACAACAGTTCTAAAAAGAACTAAAATGTTCACAAAAGGAAAAAAAAAAGCATAAAATTTGGTTTAAGAGCATGAAAGGCCACATCCCACAAAAACTGAAACTAATGTGAAATGCTTCACGGAAGAAACTGTTTGGTTTTGGTTTGTTTTTTTTTTTTTTTTTTTTTTTTTTGGTACCAAGAATTGAACTCACAACCTCATGCTTGCCAGGCAGGAGCTGCGCCACTGAGCTACCAGCCCGGCAAGAAACTTCTTAAAGTTTTCTTTGCATCACTAAATGCCTGGCCAACTGGTGTGAACTTAATGGTGAGTTACAATTTATTTCTAAAGAAAAGAAACAGGAATTGAGTAGGTATCATTGTTGTTTATATTTTATGAATCCATATGTTTCAATTTTCATTTCCTGATTCTTAGCTTTTGATTTCTTCCTCTGAAATTTAAGGAACATGCGAATATCAAGCATGAATAGCACTTTCAGTTTTATTTTGTGGGTGATAAGGACAAATACTAATTTGTAAATCTAATTCTGTTTTGTATAAATTGCACAGTAAATTCCATAAAAATGAGACTAATAATTTTTAAAAAGTAAATCATGATTACACTTATTTTACAGCCCCCCACCCAAAAAAAATATATCTTTTAAAAAGCCCTATTTTCTGAAGAAACTAGGTAGAGGTTTAGAGAGCAATATTTAACCACAGCATGCCGATGCCCTAAAAGAAGCTTAATGCCACTAAACTTATTTTTACATTTTGATTCTCAACATTCACCCTCCACATGGAGAAAAATGCAGCCTAGGAAGTCTTCTAATTATCTCACGGTGTACTGCCACGCATGTGTATGTGCGCTTCTGCACCCATGTGCTATCCCACATGGAATGAGCACAGCCAGGCTGGCACTCGCCGCCGCCTCCCGCTCGCTCTCCTGGGCTCTCCTCCCCTGCCCTGCCCATTACGGGGAAGGTGCTGCACTGCGTGCGCTGCCGCCTGGCATGAAACTGCCACAAGCTGCTAGCAACCAATGCACACAAACAAGATCGCCTGGAAGAGAAAATTCAAAGTAAACTTACACTTGAAAACAACTTGCTCTCTCTTATGCTACTTTTCATTCACTTGTCATTCTGCTAAGTTTTAAGTGTGGTAGCATTAACCGCATGGAAGTGTCATTTGGGGAAGTAAAAAAAAAGCCAGATAACAGCAATCTGATGGTTCAACTTGGTAAAAAAACAAAAACAAAGGTAGGCTCCCTCTCCGGCCCTTAAGGTAAGGAAGGTCATGTGAGACAAGGCAGAGACAGCCTCAGAAGCAAGCCTGGAAGTCCAGGAGAATGGAAAAATTAATACTTTACAATAATTTTCCTATGACAAGTATGGCCAAAACTACTAGTTTAAAATTCCAAGTACTGAACTCCCATGGCACAATCCTCTGGCTTGTTTGTTGGTTTGATTTGTTTTTATAATCCTCTGTTTTTAAAGGCTTTTCACACATACTGTCATCTCACTTGATGTTTTTGGCAGCCAGGCTGATTGCCTCTGCTTCAAAATCAGGAAAACAGGGTCCAGAGAGGCTCAGAGACTCACACAAGATGACGTGAATAATACAGCACACGGACGGGACTAGAAGACACAGCCGCTGGAATCGAGTCCACTAACCTCTCACTTCCCTCCTTTACTCTGAAGTAAGATGACTGTGTCCAACGAAAACTGTGCTTTATGCATTAATACAAGTTAGAGATGCAAGAGAGCACAAAGGGCTGGTCTCTGCACTGGCTGTTTACATAACAAAGGTAATAACTGTTTGTACACAATAGTAAATATTATTGGGACTCAGGTTTTTACTAAGCTGACTTAGCACGGTAGAAAAGATGTGATTTGGGGATAAACAGCTAAATCTGAAGCAGTGCCAGTGCCTTTGGGTTACATCCTTTCCTCCTATTTTCTGTTGCTGTTATTGTTCGCAGCCTCTTCCTTTTCTCTTCTGTCTCATCACCTGCTAAGAGAGGCAGATGCCTGGCACATAGCAGCCATTCAATACAAATGGAATCCCCTTCTCCTTTTCCATCCCTGCCAGTAACTAATTTAGGGGTAGGACTGGGAGGAGCCAAGCCCACAGGAAATCGCTTGGGTTACAACATGTGGCTAAGGCCCAAAAAGAAATCACAAAGATAAGGGAGATAACACCTCTCTTTTACCAGCTGTGACTTCCACACAAAGCTGTAATGCAAGCACACACCACGCAAGCTGCAGGTAGCGAGCATCTATCAACACACGTCTACCAAGTGCTTAGTATCTTAACTAAGGTGACCTACATTTTAAACAATTTCACCACTTTTTCCTGGCTAGTTCAGAGAACCTGACAACTAGAGAACCTATAGTTCAGGGTCAGGCCTGTAAGCCCCACAGGTGGCTTTATTTTAAAAAAAGACCAGGAAAGACAGGTTAGTATTTGCTCATTGCATGTGTTTCGAAGGTCAGTGCCTTAACAACCAGCCAACCTTACCAAAAAGACAAGAGGGAAAGAAACTGAGTGAAAGCAAACCTGTGGAAGTTAGGATGACTGACTGAAAAGCCTTACATGCTTCTTAGCTAAGTAACATGTCATAAATGTCACAATCCAGTAAACATAGATAAGCTAGAGAAACAAAAAACATTAAAATCTTTTACTGGAAAATATGGTTAGATACATCTTAGCCAAGAACACTCAAATTTCTCTACCTCAAGATCCTTTTCACTCAAAGCTTCTCTTTGCATCCATCCATCCATCCTTAATACACGTTGAGACTGTAAAAGTTACAAAATGTTTAGTTCACTTTAAGAGTACCATACATTAGCAAGGAATATTTAGGTAAAGTAGCTATTTTCAAAACTATATATAGTAAGGTGGCCTTAGTCTATAGCTTCTGCAACTGACGAAGGAAAGACAGCCAGATGCCACCACCACATTCACTGTACTATAAAACATTGTTTGCTTACTGTGTATTTTTAGAAAACCAAGGATCTAATGTCATGCAGATAATGAAATAACAGCCTTCAAGTTTTTTCTATGATGCTACACCAAAACTCAACAACTGAAGGTTCAGTAAATCATGCTTTTAATGTGGGATCTAAAACTCCCCAATGACTATTTTCTGTTTTGTTACATGATCCTTGGACTCACTCTTAACTTTGAAACACCAGTGTTGGTCATTTTCTCAGTGCATAACATACTCACCGAGAAGCTTCTGCTCCGTACACTTTTCACTATATAGTACCCAAACATCACGATTAACATTGCCACTGATACCTCCATCTCAGTGCCGGAAAGCGATGAAGCTCACAGCAGCACACACCAGGCTTCCAAAGGTCTGCTGTGTGGAAGTAGCAGGAACACGAGGGAATGCTGTACAATAACCAAAATGAATGAACTCCACCATCTGGGGTAACATGGTTAGTATGTACATTGGCTGAGAATCTCTGATCTCAAAATTTGAAATCCAAACTACCCTGAAATTTGAACATTCTGCACATTTTGGATTTGCAGGCTAGTTATGCTTAAGAATAAAGTCTATGGAAATACTCCAAAATTTAAAAAGCTTTGAAATTGCAGTCCCAAGTATTTCAGGTGGGGGGAAAATAAGCAAGTATATATTTCATATATATACATATATATATATAGTATGATATATATCAAATTTTATATTTATTTGCCAATGATACATGCAAAAATAACTAAAAAATCAGTTTTACAATCAAAATTTCATGTGTATAGGTACCTCTTACACAAAAGCTTTTAAGAATATACATGGGTGTTACACAATTTTATTGAACAGGAGAGGGCAGAGTGAAGAAAATAAAGTTCAGGTTCCGTGGGATGAAGGTGGCCAGAAGCATGGCACAGAGGTGAAGGGAGGCCTGGTGAGTTACACACAGCAGCTTTGGTCAAGGACTGAATTCTCTCAGGTGCTGAGTTTAAGGAAAACTATTCACATAAGAATAACATGGTTTCAGGGCTGCACAAGACTCTTTCATGAATCAAGAAATGTAATGATTCCACTTTTGTGATCCAACGATTTTTTTAGACCTACATGTTTTACATACCATGCTCATAGAACATGATAATTCAGAAAAGAACATATTGCAAAACACTAGAGGTCCTGAGCAATTTAAAAAATTAAATTCTTGGGCCAGCCAAATAGCTCAGTGGATTAAAGTGCCTGCAAGCAGGCACAGGGGCCGGGGGTTCTATCCCTGGGCCTCCCATGCCAGCCCCACCCCAGGGGTGTGCTGAAACAGGGATTGAGACTGGACATGGTGGTGTGCACCTGTAATCCCAGCACTTGGGAGGTTGTAAACAGGTGGATCACTACAAATCGGAGTCCGATCTAGTAGTTAGACCCTGAACACCCTTCCCTAAAATACAAAAAAAAAAAAAAAAAAAAAAAAAAAATTAAGTCCTTAATCCGACTAGAGTAGTATAAATAAATTCACCCATAAATTTAATATTCATTGAGCCTCCATACTTGGAAGGTTGTATCCTGTTTCTCCTAATATAGCAAAAAACAAGAGAAATAACTGCTCTTCTCACAAAGCTAACCTGGGGAGGGCTGCATGAGTGAAGAGAGAAGAGGAATAAGTTTAAAAATAATCTTTAGGGTATGGCTGTGGTGGATGCTGAATAAGAAGAAAGATTTCGGAGAAGGTGATGTCCTAATAGAGGTCAGCATTGGGCAACCACACAAAGGTGCCCCAGATGACACTCATGGGTGGAGGACAACACTCCAAGTACTTCTGTCCCAGATGGTTTGCTGTAGAACACTTTTAATTTGAACCCCAAATCCACTTTGGTAGTCCTGTCCAGGACTTCTGTGGTGCTTCACAAAACTGAGGTGGTCATCCTCACAGACCCTGCCAGGGCCCACTCATTACAAGGGCCCAGAATCTGGTCATGCTTTATTAGGACAGAGGAAAAACATTTATCTGGCTAGAGTTCTGCCAGGCACTAGATAACAGAAAGGATCAAGAGAACAGCGAGGATGTAAGTTTTTATTTTGAACTTTTGCTTTTATGAAAAAATACGTTAAGTAGCTCAACAATCTGTATCTACAACAAACATGTGCATCCTTGCCTGAGGCACCAAGTACCTGCACCCCTTTTCACACTCTTTGCCCATAACATACAAATACCCTGCGCTTCCTCCTCGAGCTAGCCAGGCAGGTAACATTCAAGGGACAGAAGAGTTCGCTGGCAGTTCTACTGCTACAGCTTAGACAGACTCACAAGTAGCAGGCAGAGGCTTAGCTAGCCCTCCAGAGGAGCAAGGGGGGCTGCC